CCGTTGTTAATAAGATTTTGATCTGTTATTCAAGAAAAGAATTTTCGGAGTTGTTCTCTATAATCTGCTGTCTTGCAATTATAAAATTCAGGTTGGAGCAGAAAACAGTGAAAAGGAAGAGAGTTTTTGCAACTCTAAAAGTTCTAGGGATGGTATTGGAGCAGCTGACCGAAGAAATTCTGAAGAGGTTTGGTGTATGATCTTTCAAATTGCTTTTCTAATGGTAGTTGCTTTGTATATCTGACACAGTAAAATAAGAGCATGGTTCAGGAAAATGCTTGTGTTCCTTTTTTTAGAACTTCTTTGTTAATGAATTACTTACTGTTGTAGAAACCAGGTTAGAGATAGAAAAATCTAACATCTAGAAATAGAAAATGCATATGCTTTGGGATTATGTGTCTACACCTGTGATGTTGCTTGGAAGCCGTGGAAAGATATTCTTAGTCTGTTTGCTTGTGACCGGGTGGTGCCTCCAACAGTGGAGAGGTTCCTGAGTACTTCTATTAAAGGGGAAGGTATGAGGAAAGTAGCCAATCCATCATGGCAAGGTGTTATCTTTGCAAGTTTGTGGTGTATATGGCTTGCTCGCAAATCTGGAGTCTTCAACAACAGACACCTCCATACTGAGTTGTGGGAGAGAGAGATTTTTGGCATCTTTACGGGCCGAAGCACCATAACTGGGACATTTTCCTCCGCACAAAGTCCTTTGAAACATTTCTCTTCACCTCTATCCATGAGGAGCATGTTATACCTACGTTTTTCTTTCGTTTTTGTATGTTTTATTGAGGAGGATGTCTTAGTCTCCAGCTGTGTAATTCTCTTTCTCCTATCTCAGTAAAATGTCTTTTTCTACAAAAAAGAGAATTTTCTATTGGAAGTTTTTCCTCTCTTTCAATTCTGTTGCCGAACTTCCTGTTGAAAGAATGCTTTGAGGAAACTATCAGTCTTAATGAATTGTAGTCATTGAAGCTAACTCTGACTTATTTCTGATTTTAATTTCTGCATCCAAAACTAGGACTCTTGAAAACATATGATGCATTCTAGAACCAAGCAACAAGAGATTCCTTGTTTTTGAATTGGTCTATGTGTTATTTTTCAAGAAAAAAGAAGCTTTATTTCTTTTACATGCTCATCGCATGTTTTTTTTTTGTTTCTAGAAGTTTTTTCTTTTTCTACTTTTGTTATAATATGCCTGTTTTTTGTTTATTTAGTTTATTTGCTTAACTATATAATATTCTTTACTTGTTTTATGCAGCTGAAACGGGTCATTGAATCAGATGCAGCCATGACTGAGGACCTAATTGCTTACAACGTCATTCCCTTGGATGCTCCTACTATAACAAATGCTATAGTGTCTTTTCCTGAGGTAAATCACTTCCATTTCCGGTCAGAGGTTTATATTTTTCCTTGACTGTGCTTTATGCCAAAAACTTCTGGTCAGGTGCGAGCAGCAGTATCAGCATTAAAATACCACCGAGGCCTACCAAAATTACCTGTCGATTTTCCTATTCCTAGCACAAGAAATGCTGATATGCTCGATTTTCTGCAGTATGTTTTTGGTTTTCAGGTCAGTATGACTGTTGTTTCTGTTTGTCCTATGCTTATAACTAGTAGCTTATATGACATTTTGGTGGAGAGTTGTCCGACAGGTAATATTAGGAGATTTAGTTCAAATTAGGAAACTTGATTCTCATTCTTTTTAAGAGAGTTTAGCTTGATTTCACGAACTCATTTTTTAAATAAAACAGATGTGGAAGAGTGAGGATAGAACTTTGAATCCTCATTAAACATTGATGTGGAACAATTTAACATGAATAAATGCCTGTTTGGTAGGGGCTAGTGCTTGTGCCATGTGTGATAAAAGTTCTGTTAAAATAACTTTTCAGTAAAAGTGCTCTTAGTAGAGAAACTGTCTCTTTTTGTTGGAATTAGCTATGGAAAGTGCTCTTACTTTGAAGAGAAGATACTATTCCGTTTGGTGAAAATAACTAATAGATACTGAAATACTAAGAAGGGTATAAAAATAGAATAAGAAATTTGAATAATTTTGATGATTAGTTTGATTTTTTTAGTTTATATTATTATTAGATTTTAACAAATATATATTAATTGAATTGTTATTTTTTAGTTGTGAATATAACTGAACAATTGCTATTTTAAATTAATGATATAAAAGGTTTTTTAAATGCTGAAGTACCAAAAAAAAAGTAAAAATAGGAGAAATTTAATTTAATTTTTTGTTTGTGGATAGAAAAAGAAATTTTATTAAGAGATAAAAGCAGTGAATACAAAAACATCGGATAAGATATCCAACTTAAAGGGAACCTTTTTTTTTTAAATAAAAAATATAGTATGTATCGTTAATTACTAGCACCAAGGGGTAGTAACCCATGTATAAAAGTATTTACATGTCAATTAGGATATCGATAAGGTTTCTACGTTCTCCATAGAGTACAAAGGATGACCCGTGATCAACAACCCAGAGTTTGAAACCATCTAGCTGTAACCAAACGAACTCTTCTTCCACTCCTTCAAAAACTCTTATATTTCTTTCTTTCCTCACCATCCAAAAGATTGCAAGGGGAATTAAACCCAAATATTTCTTCCAACCACTAACACCCTTCCATGCCCATTTCTCTTCCTTTACATTGCGCACCATTACCCAGCTAATTCTTAACGATCCATACGCCATATTCCATAATTCTACGCTAAGGGACACCATATAGTAATGATTGTTAAAACAAATAACATAAATAACGTAATTGTTATACATTAAAACAAATAACATAGTTGTTAATCCATGAAAGGAAACCTAGTTAAAAAAAAGACATAAATAACAGCACATAGGGCAAAATGGAACCACAGTTAATCAAATGATTGTTGCTTCCCAATTCCTGTAAAGGGCAGTGAGAGAGATATAAAGAATTTCCCATGTGCTTTGGCCCATAAGGAACGCAAAAAAGTCATCTTATCCTATAACATATCAAACGAGAATGATCAATTATCTAAAAATCCTCTCTGAACTGTCTATTTCTGAACTCTATCGGAATTGGGAGATTTTTATTTTCGGTCATTAATTTTGCATATCCTTTGTGAATTTTATTTATTTAGATTTTTTTGGCGTACTACTATTTGTAATCTCTAGAGGAATTCTCATCCTCTTTTATTTTTTTTCTATCCTTTTGCTCTTACTTTAATAAGCTTGTTTTTCTATAAAAGATTATAAAAAATCCAACGGTTTCTTTCCAGAAAAGTTGTCCATAAGCATGTGAACAACGTTCTTTGTCATAAGGGTCATGCTTTCTTCCACACCCGTACGCCTCCTATATGTGAACATATGAAGCATTCCAATGAGGGAGGTTATATTAATAAATATTGATTAATTAATTTTTTAGCTTTAATATAACTAGGGATATATGTGTAATTAACAAACTTGTGTGAGGATAATTTTGGGAAACCATGTTAGATATTTCCTTAAAAGCAGAAGCAGTTGTTGGAAAGGATATAAAACCTGCTTCTGTGTTTATATATGTTAAAAATAAATTTGACTTTAGCTTTTCCAAAAGTACTAATTTTTTCAGTTTGGTAACAAAATGTTATTCCATTGGAAAACCATAGCTACAAGCTGTTCCAAACTGAGCCTGACAATAGTGAGAGATGCAGAGATTAAGATGCAAGACAAAAATAATGAGGAGAAAGCATCTTGTAAAGGTGAAGCAAACATCAGGGGAGTGGTGGGAGAAATTATTTCACTCGTTCTTGCACTATGTGGTGGCTTCACAGCTTTGCATTGACACATATACTTTTCTCCAGATGTAACGAAGTTGTATTTCCTGTCATTTCTGTGATTTGTTTCGTGTCTGAGAGACAAATAGCCATTGTTTTGCATTACGAGATGGCGAAATTACCTATGTGTGGTTATAGGGGAATGGTGGGTTTTCCTTATGCCCTTGAAGTATTTTTACCTAGCTGTCTGAAGGGTTGTCTGCAGAATCTGCAGCACAGAATGTTACAGCAAGGTGACTTTTGTTTGTGTTGTGTTGTTGTGCCTGGATTGTAATGTTAGGATCTACAATCGATGTGTTAATTCTGCAAATTTATTTGAGGTGGGGTGATTTTTTCTTGGCGCCTTCGTTAGCTAATCCACAGTCTTTTTAGGGGTTTGCTTTTGTCTAATATTCAAAGGAATTAGGAGGCTGCTCTGTACTGACAACTGCCTGATATATTTATTTTGTATTTTACTGTCTTTCATTTGGTAGGAGGATACTTATCCTCTCTTTTCATGCTCTTTTCTCTCAATAATATTTGTCTTTCAGTAAAAGAATTTATTACATAGGAGGATATTTTTTTTTTGTTCGTTTTTGTTTTTACTTCAGAAAGACAATGTGGCTAATCAGCGTGAGCATGTTGTTCTCCTTCTTTCAAATGAGCAATCTCGACTCGGTATTCCTGAACAAACTGAACCTGTAAGTCGTTGGTCTTCCATTTTGTTGGTACATGCCATACAGGCTGGTTATTATGCCGTTTTAAGAATATATACACATATATTTTTTGGTTGATTGATGCTCTATAGCCTCTTGTAAGTTTTCTAATTATTCTTATGTAGCCATTCTCAGCTTTCAGTCTGATTTGCTATCTTAATGATTATCCAGAAATTGGTTGAGGCTGCTGTACAAAATGTATTCTTGAAGTCTTTGGAAAATTATATTAAGTGGTGTAACTACCTATGTATTCAACCTGTTTGGAGCAAGTATGGATGTTCAAACCTTCTGTCATTTTCTTTTGGATCTTCAATGCATATAATTTATCAGGAGTCACTGTAATTTCTATTGCTGATTCGTAGTTTGGATGCTCTTGAGAAGGAAAAGAAAGTACTTTTTGTTTCCTTGTACTTTCTCATATGGGGTGAAGCTTCCAACATCAGATTTCTTCCAGAATGCTTATGTTACATATTTCACCATGTAAGTGGAATACGCTTTTATGACTTGCTTGGTGCTTGGTCATCTTGTTAATGGTCTCTGCCATACACATATAGAGAATACTATGCAAACTTGTACATACTTGCTTTCTAAGTTCATATCTCTCAATGAAGGTTCCTCCAAAGCTCTAGAGCTTCTAGGTTGTTCCTTATGTTGCTGTGTTGGTTGTTAAATCCTTGTCAGGCTCCAGCATCATTAAGAGTCTTTCTTGTTTCATACTGGCTTTGAGTGTAAATATTTCAATATACAGATGGTAAGAGAAATGGATGAAATTTTAAGGCAGCAAATTGCACAGCCGGCAAATAGTTGCATTTCAGAGAATGGTGTCTCATTCCTTGATCAAGTTATCGCTCCACTTTATGAGGTGGTTGCTGCGGTATGTCTCATTAAGGATTATGTTATTTCTTTATTTTATTTGATTGAATTTCTTTTGATTGTATTATGGAGATTTAGATGGAATTTTATGGTGCAATAACGTCTCTTTTGTATCTTTGATTTAGTACCAGTATTTCATACTTTGCACTTTTTCCCCATTTTGGAAGATAAAATTTAGTGACCAAACTTATTGATCTAAGTACCCTGCTTAGTACCTTTCTCTTTTCTCCCTAGTAATATTTCTTTCCTTCATTAAGGGGAAAAAGAAAATTTATGATCTCTTGCTCCACATTCTTTTAAAAATGCTGACTGAAGGGTAAGATCCAAACCTTCAGTCTCATGGCCAACTTTTGTAAGCATCTTTTAGTAATATGTTGTATGAATTGCATAATTGGCCCTGGCTTTAAAGAAATACATGTAAGAAACTCTTTTTTGCAATTTTTGTTGTGTTTCTGGAGCAACTACTTTTATTGCATTGATGGTGATGAGTCTGTTTATTTATTTGAGGTTATGATGGTATCTCTTGTTGGAGAAGTTGTCTAGTCATGCATTATATGCCAATTTTAAGGTCTTCTGGTACATTAAATTTAAATTCTTTATTTATCTACAACAACTTCAGGAAGCTGGAAACAATGATAATGGTCGGGCACCTCATTCTGCCTGGAGAAACTATGATGATTTTAATGAGTACTTTTGGTAAGCTGCCTGCACAGTTATGTTTTCTAAACAGGTTTCATGGTCTTTGTTAGGTGACTATTTTCCCTGTTTCCAGGTCTCTTCATTGTTTTGAACTCAGTTGGCCATGGCGCAGAAGTTCATCTTTTTTCCAAAAACCAACAGCAAGGCCAAAGGTTTGCAACTATTAACCACTGATATTTGCATACTATTTTCTGAAATCAGATTACTTTTGTTACTTACTGTTACTTCTGGAGTTACAGAATGTAGGCAAGTAAATTAACTTTTTGAAAACTTTTTGGGAACTAATAGAGTTTTAGTTGTGGATGGCCATCAATTTGTTTGTCATTTAATGAGTCCGCTAACTATCTACTCTTTTGTGCCCTGAGGCAAGGTTGTGAGGTTCTACCCTTAAGTAATGTTAAGGGTACAATGGCCTTGGAATGGTTATCTCGTTGGGTGGCAAGTTGATGAAAGAGGTTATTGCTTTCATCTCTCGACTATTTTCTGGGTCATTTGAAAAGAAGGAATATAATAATTTTGGGGCTATTTTGCCACATTTGATATACTTAGGAATCATTAAAACTCCTAATTCAAATAAGAAAAAAATCATAAGGCTTGGAAATCTCAACTAGAGTGATGTTGCTTAGACTCGACGAGAATTAGTGGGCCAGTGAAGTTGACGATTTTGGTGGAAAATAGTAGCTTTTTGGCGATAGGTGGCGCCATAATAGATAATGGAAAGAGTAGGTAGGGGGAAGCGGCGATTCTTGATGGTGGATTTTGACACTACAAGCAAGGGAAGGAAAGTTGAACGTATGCGATGGAGCAAGTACTGAAAGGGATTTAGGGTTTCGATAGTTTTCTGGGAGGAGGAAGTTGAGTGGTTGATGAAGGTTTTGGAGGAATTCTACTGAGTGAACGACATATAGTATTGAGGACGAAACAGGAAACGAAGAAACCATGAGTTGTGGGTGGCGTTAGGCAGGAATAGAGGGGAATAGCTTCTTGTGCTCATAGAGAAAAGAGGGAAGGGGATCCGTCATATTTTTGTCTTGGAAGGAAATGAAACAAGAAGTTGGTGGAGAAAGATGGCGGTAATTGCAGAAATAGCTGGAAAACAGTGTGCACCACACACAGAGTAAAGGATATTTTGGTCGACCAACAGTGAGTTTCTCGGAAAACTTTGAAGGAGGAGAGCCAAGTTATCTGTGTTGGTT